TCTCTATAAAAGTTCGCAAAACTTGAATTAGCTGTTTTCATTACTTTTAAGTCTTTAAGACCAGATATAATTGAGAAACTACCATGTCTTGAACGTTTAACAGTTGTTAATTGTATTTCATTACTTGATTGAATAAATGATGTTGGATGACGAACGTTATTTGATGTGACTATATGTGACCAAGCTTTACTTTCAATATAAACATTAACAGATGATATATGAGAATGACGTTCAAGTAAATAATTAACCAGATCTTTTGCAAAATCTTCAATTGATATTGCACTTGCACGTTGTGCCAAATAATAGACTGAAATATTTTAGAAAAAAAAAAATTAAATCTTTTTTAAGTTGTTAGGTTTACCTGTATTTTTCATTGTATCTGTTGGTAAAACTTTGGAATTATCAGCTTCGGAATAACTACTAGCAAAGTCACCCTCGACTAGAACACGTACTTTCCATTCATCGAATGTGTTTCCATTGTATGGTGAACGATGTACTCGTACAAGACGAACACCTTCTTTACCATAACGATTTTCACGGACACTTGCCATCGTATACTTTATCGTCTATTGTGAACTTAAAAAGCGTAAAGGTATGAATGCATGGTATACATTGATGCGCTTATCTATTATATGCTCTCTCTCTTTCTGTTTTCTTCTTCTTTTTTTCCTATCACAACACGGTAATTCGATCAAAAGAAAGGTAAACTGAAGAAAGAGAAGTCATATTTATGCATAATATCATATTATATTAAATAAAAATCACATGTATATTGTCAAAGGTCATTTCAGCTGTTTTGGAAATACCAATAATTGACCTGACAATCGAAAATTCAGCCAATTAAGTTTGAAATTTTCGCTTTAACTGAGTTGAAACTAGTTAACTGTGATATTTTGACTGTGATAACTAATTTCTATCTTAGTTGATATTAAAATTTTAACAGAAAACAGGTAACTATTTAATTTGAGTTCATTTCAACATAGAAATTCTCTAATTAATTTTTGAAGAACTTTTTTAATGAATTACACTAGAAATCTACAAATAGCATTATGAAAATACGAAAATTGATGGCATCGGTTCTCTGATTCAAAAAGATAGCATCTTACAGGATGGCCTGAAATATGAGCATATACCACGGTGCACGGAAAAGAATGCTGCCCGTATTCGATCGTAAACAGAAAAAATGTGATGAGTCTATTCTTATCATTTACAATAATTGAAGAGCAATATCTTCATCGTATACGACCTTGTGCTTTTCAAATGTTAATAATCTATATGAATCTCAGTCTGTTCTAAGATCAAACTATATCTGTCAAGCACGATTAGTCGTTTCACCAGATGAGTTTATTTAGAAATTTCTAGTCGTCATTTCGAAAGCTATTCATATGTGTTTTGTTTATTTCATCTTATTTCGCCTCAACTGATACCATCTTTTCTTTACATTTTTTTGAAAGAAAAAACACCAAGCTCCTATCATATTTCAATGAAAATTTGCTTAATAACCCCCTTTTTTTATATGAATTATATTTAACTTGAAAATGAAAGACGCAAAGTAGTTCATTTTAAAATTTAATTATCGATTAGAATGAAGCTAGTTATTTATGAAATTGTCAGAATAATCAGTTACGATTACAGGAAAGTTCACTTTAAAATCCACGCTGACATAGATAGGATCAAGTTATTTACGATGTTAAACGATATGTTTGTTGAAATGCAATCTTGTTATACTACGTTCGAAGTATGATCGAGACAAATATTCGATTAATCAATTAATGCAATTATTGAAGCATGAAACAGAATAGATTTCAATCTTTATCTCAAATCAAAAGAATGCTAATAATGTTACGAATCCAGTATCGACATATATTTTTGTCAGTCTAGTTTTCAATGTTTCTATATTTTTTTCGAACAAAAATATTCTTAATGTATGTGTCTTTAACGAAAAATTCTGATTTATCATGTGCTTTATTACTATTGCATTGTATGTTTGCATTTCGGTGTATAGAATGATACAAGCAATCAAAAACACAACAAACATTACTAAACGCGAGTGCTTATGTCATAAATTGAAGCAACCAATAAGTACTTTTTTAAAGGCACGAGTCATTAATCACAGTGGTATGTGATTTTTTCGTGTACGATGAGTATCATTAAAAGAAAAATGTGTGATAGTCATTTATTCACACACATACAATAAATACCGATTCAAGATTAAGTTATTCGAGACATTTTTATTTGATTAAAATTTGTGCGGACATCAAAAAAATAACTATGCGTAGTCATTAAACGTGTTTTTTTTTCATCTAAGATTCTATCTGACGTACAATCACATGAAGAAAAAAAACATTCATTGGCTTTCATCCTATCACCTTGCCATGAATCGTTAAAATCGATGAAAGATACGACAATATGTTTTATATATTTGTAATTACTGTATTTTGAATATGCATGAATAGATAAGTTGTCTACTAAGAAACATTACTCTGCATTCCTTTTGATAATGTCGATAATTTCATTGGACTATTGTCGCGTCGATCCCGTGATGTAAAGGATAATAGTACAATATTGTCAGCTCAAGTCATATAAAGATAAAATAAAGAAAACATCATTAAAATAGATAAATCGTCTATTCGAATACAATTGCACGTTTAACATAAATGATTAATGACTTCAATAAATGTGTGTCTAGAAACTGTGCATACATATTCAAATATTTCTGATAACAACAAGTTGCAAATAAAAATTCATTTAGAATTAACTGAATAAAATCAGAATAATCATGTTTAAAGTAATTACTAACTTGAGAAAAGCTGACATAGACAGCAAACTTTTCACGGTATTTTTGTTGCTAGAGTTGCTTGTTTTTTATTAAACATTGAAATGCAAATATCGAACATGATCCAGTCTCGTATCAAACTATTTGTTTCTAAGAATATTCAAACAACTAAATCAATGACTGTCATTTCATGTTATATACAAATGTAGAAAGTATAATTATATTCATAGTAACAATACTTTTTTTCTCAAGCTTTCAATAGCGATCATATATAACCTTTTATGCATTTCACTCATCGATCTAGTTATCCGTATATATTGTTTTAATATAAATTTATATTTTTTTATCAGAAAGACTCATTTAAACATATCAAATAACTAAAGTGCTATCTCGATCAACAACTGAAGGTCGCTCTCTATTTTTATTAAACTATACTTGATCGTTTATCACGGTTATCAATCCGATCTTCAGTGAACACTCGACTAAGACATCTTAACCGTCCCTAATAAATTCGTTCTATCGTAATTGACTCCACATTGATCTGTTAAAAATTTCACTGTGAAAGTATCGATTTCAAATTTGTTACCCAAATAGTTTCACAGGGGTCGCAGCGGCCTATGTCTGAAAATCAGGAAAATAGGCCGGACACATTTTAGAAAAAAATCAGGAATTTCGATTAAAATCAGGACATTTTAAGTCTTATCGTAGTACTATTGTTCAGGATGAAAGCTGCACAAAAGTATGTCAATCAGTGATAGTTCATTGAAATTACTATATATTTCGACGAATACGTGCTTCGAGTTCTGCTTTTTTCTTTTTCGTTCGATATCTCTAATTATGCATTGTGTATACGTTTTCTTTTTCTCAGATATGTGGCCTACGGAAGGGGCATCCTTTACTATTGGAGTCTTATTTGTTTCTAGTCGAAATCGCATTTTTATCAGGAAAATAGCCGTGAAAAGAAATAAGAAAAATCCGCATTTTCGCAGTTTTTAAGGCTCTATAACCATCTTTTCGGCACGAAAACCATTTCCCTGCATCACACTTTCTTTCCCTCTCTGCTACTTTTCCTCTTCTTCATATCCCTGCTTTTCGCACATATAAAACAACCATGTTATAGAGAAACGAATAAAAGCGTTTACAAGAAAACTTTAGTAAATCGACTAAAATGTTAAAATAAGGGAATAGAAGATTTAGTGCAGCTACGCACGATCGTGAACTGTGTGATATAATTACCGCCGAAGTACTGGTGATAATTATTAATGATAAAATAGCTGCTTTCACAAACCAATTAATTCGAAATAATCGATTCTTAAAGTGATTACAAGAAAAAAAATGGACAAAATAAAAATTTGAGTACCATCTTTCTTTTTATAGAAAATATTCAACAAATATTTTCATAAAATTTTTAAGAAACGTTGAGTATAACAAAATAAAACATCAAAATGACGTATATGTGGTCCTACAGAGATAAATCTTGAGAAATCAGGACAAAATCAGGAAAGTACACAAATTCTCTGTGACATCTAGTAATCAATGAGATATATCAACTGGTACTAAACTCAAAATTGATCATCAGCATGATGAAAGTCTAGATGGCCGAAAGCTGATGAAATCGAAGTTTTGCAAACATGTCATAACTAAATATTCGTACCAAAAGTTGAGTCAATTCAGAAATGATGTGAGTGTTGATGTCTATTTCATCCTAACATCTACTCAAATGCACAGCTCTACACTAACATCAAGCCACATTCACACCCTATATTGTTATTCTTTTACAGCATAAGATCAAATGAGCCTGCAAATTTATGATGATGACATTCTCCTTTCTATTCTTGTATCTTTCTTCTTGCTATCTTATACTTATCATTGTATTTACTGGTTCTTAATGTCGTCGTGTCTTCCATGGTCAACCTTATTTTCTAGGGACAATAAAAGTCCATATAAATAAAAGGGCAAACTAATGTTGGCGAGAATAATCATAAAATAAACGATGTAGTTACATTTTTCTCTGTCATTTGTTGTTGACAATCATATTTTATAAAGATAAACTAGATGGAGTTTATCTTTAATGAGAAGAAATACCCATATTTGATGTCAAAGAGATATCTAGAAAAAATAACAGCGGACACAGAATGTATAAATAGAAACGGTGATTTCTTTTCAAACCACAATCTATTATTCACGATGCTCAAATATTGATCCAACGGCATTTCTATCCAAGATGGGTGGACAAAACTCAAAAGAAACTATTACTAAATCAACAATGGGTGCCACTGCAAGTGCATTAGCCTTATCAACATCCATGTTACGAAGAGAGCATATGGCTGAAAACTATGTGGTCATCTGGATGGATGAACATATTGATACAACAAATAAAGATTATAAACATACACTCGCGGAGTTTCGTGATGTTGTCAATCAAGTAAATATTCGCACCACAAGGAAACAGTGTATTCAATGGCTCAATGAAAATAATACAGAGACCTCATTTGTTATCTCTTCTGGTGCACTTGGACAACAGCTCATACCAGACATTTATGGCATTTCACAAGTTGATTCCATCTACATTTTTTGCGGCAGTAAACGATGTCATGAAGCCTGGATCAAAGATTGGACGAAAAGTAAAGGTGTGCATACTTCAATCAAGCTCATCTGTGACGTATCAAAAATGGCTGTCAAGTAATTCAACCAAAACACCATGCCAGTAAACATTGTTGGTGCTAATGAAGGAGGCTCTAACGGAAATCTCAATCAGCTAGAATCGACCTTCGTGTATTTTCAATTATTCAAGAAAATCCTGCTTGATATGAAAATTGATACAAAAAGCCATCTAAGACCTGGCCAAGTTTTGTCACGAAGAATATTCTGACAATATTCAAGAAACAAAAATCATTGAAGAATTCGAACGTAACTATCAAACATCAAAGGCTATTTGGTGATATACATTTGAGTGCTTCGCATATCAAATGCCCAATAGAGCATTACGAACATTGGATGGCGATATTATCATCCGAATGAGATTTTTCCTATGTTATGTTCATCGACAAATCGAACATTACACAAAAAGCAAGTTAGTCAATATCATGGAAAAACTTTTTTAGTCTATTGAGGTCAAGGATTAACGATTGAAGCAGCGTTTCTAATGGCAGGTGTACCCAGCAGAAGTAAAATGTACGGGACACCTGCGATTACAAAAATACACGCTGCGGTAAACTTGCTTAGAAAATTAGAGTGTACAAGGTACACTTTGCCAAGTGAATATACACTGTTTTTTTTAGATATTGAGAAGTATTTTTATTCTTACACATTTACTCTGAAATGATCGATAATAGGTGCATCTTTTAGTTCTCTCTGTGATTTGCGCAATATGATTGGCTTTTTTTCTCTTCATTTCATTCCTATATCGATATCAAGCATTCCAATTTCAATGTTAATTTTCGACGAGTCTAGTCAAATTTATCGTTCATTTTTCTTTATCTTAAAAAGAATTTTAATATATTTTTGTAATTTCAGATTTCATATGAACAAATTATGAGTAATAGTAATGTACAACTGAAACTGAACGATATATGGAAAAACATACAGTCACCCTCAGTTCAGATCATATCGATATGCATATTGACAGTGATGAAAATGAAATATAATAGAGTTGCTTATCGAGAACATTGTATATTACATAGTAATCTAATCTATGTTAAAATTTTATGTTGATTTCTTATTCCAGTTTTCTATATTTACAGTTTATGTATTTATGAAACTATTAAATGTAAATTGTACTTGTTTATCTATTATTTGTTTGTTTAAAATTGATGTATTACTTTATAAAAGGAAAAAAAATGAACTTGATTTATTTTTCATGTTTTTCTAGTAAATGAACCTTTGATTGAGTACATTTTATACACTTACCATTTAAAAATAAAGTGTACACATACATTTTGTTTTAAGAAAATAGAGTGTACAGTACATTGTATTTTATATTTCCATTAGAAACGCTGGATTGAAGATTTCGAAAAGCTGGCAAAAAACGAAGATGGTCTTATATCTTTCAATAACTTTTTATCTAACAGTAAAAATTGTGATATCTCCCTTAGTTTCGTCAAGTATGCTGTGACAACAACTGGCACGGTCGGTATCATTTTTCAAATGACTATAGATCCTGCGATCTCATCGACTCTCTTTGCCTCTATTCGAGAAGAGTGTTATTATAAAAAGGAAAATGGAATCATCTTCTCCATGCATACGGTTTTTCGAATTGGTCACATTCGAAAACTTGACAAGGAAAGTTTACTTTACGAAGTGGATCTTAAACTTACGTCAGATGATGACCAACAACTCCGTCAATTAATCGAGTGTATACGACAAGAACCTTCAGGTAGCACCAGATGGTATCGAATGGGTAAATTTCTGCTCAAAATCGGTCAGTTAGACAAGGCTCAAGAATTATATATCGCACTAGTAGAACAGACATCCGACGACAGTGATGAAGCGCATATCTATCACCAGCTTGGATGGTTGAAAGACGACCAAGGACAATACAAAGAGGTAGTTTCGTTTTACAAAATGGTACTCAAAATCCGCCGAAAAACTCACCCGGAAGATCATCCTTAATTAGCTTCTACCTGTAGTAACATCGCTTTAGTATATACGAATATGGATGATTACCCGAAAGCACGTGAGTTTTACGAAAAAGTACTTAAAATACGAGAAAAAGTTCTGCCTCCGAATCATCCGCATTGAGCTGCTTTCTGCAACAACCAGTGCCCGCGCGAAGGACCTGATATTAGGGAGTGGGAGTGTAAAGAAGTGTTTTCAGGAAAAACTTCCAAAAAAATCGTAAAATTTAGGTTGAAATCGGCTGTTGTGGCTGGAGAAAACTGAAAATTTTTGATTATTGGGGAAGTATCCACCCCCTACACCCCCGCTCGCGCGGAGCATGACAACAACATTGGTGCAGCGCATTACGGCATGACTACTCGAAAGCACTTGAATTTTATAAAAAGCACATCAAATCTACGAACAATATCTGCTTACGGATCATCAAAATTTGGCTTTTCCCTACAACAATATCGGTACGGCATATAGCGTCATGGGTAATTACTCGAAAGTAATGTCATTTCTAGAAATGGCACTTGCTCTCCGACAAAAATGACTCCCGCCAACCCATCCTCTAATAAAAACAACGATACATAATATTAACAGTGTAAAAAAGAAGATGTAAATTTGTTTTTTTTGGCTTGCTCAAAAAATTAATTCACATTCCTGTTCACTTAGTTTTTCAGCTTGTCTTGACTCATTATCATGTACGCACAAACGCGACCAGAGAGATCTCCCGTAATTCTGAAATGGATACACGCAGAGCGGACTATATCGAACTCGTAGAGTAATAAACGTGGATATGAAGTACATAATGACGACAGTGAAGTATGAAGATAGTAGGCCTTCCAGATTACTACACTGCTTTTGCCATGGCAGGCATAAAGAATCTCCCTGGACTAGACTACGAAACCATCTGACGAGTTGTGATATAAGATGATATCTGTCTCACAATACACAATAACATAGCTATCATAAAAGAAAAATAATTTAACATATAACAGAAAAAAATTTCTACTTTCATGTGTTTCAACTAATGCATGTATCTAATATATATTTAAAGCAAAAACTATTCTATTCGCAAGAGATGACATATCTATCCTATTATTAAAATTATCTCTAGAAGTCTTATTGGCCACTATGACCTCTAAATTTATATGCCTTTTCTCAACTTGAAAAAAATTTTAAGCAACATACCTTCCTTGTCCATGTATTTGTAATGTAGATTGTGTCATTCATTATTAGTCATAGATTCTAATATGATCATGTTTTAATATAATATAAATTATTTCATATACATATTATTGTAATTCATTGTCTGATATAACACTAATAGATGGACGAATTCACCGAAACGATAGCATAGAAGCCGATAATTCGATCTCAGATCATTGTGAACATTATCAATAAGTTTGATCGATTCACAGAATAAAAATTAAATAGTTGAACTATAAAAAAATAATTTTCTTTTTCTACGTCGTTTTGGCAGGATAAATGTAGGCACGTATATAAAAAATATTATTCCATTCGAAAAAAGTAATATGTCTATTTTATCTCAAATATAGACTGAGATGTTCTATTCGTCACTATGACTTCTCAATTTATATATATATGTTATTAGAATACTTCTCCTTTTATTCTTTTTCCATGTTTGTCTACTCCTCGAATGACCCGAGAAAGAATGCTGATAAAAAAAAGAATTATAGAATGTGAGCAGACTAAAACAGATGTCGATAAGAACGGAATGTGCGAAGGCATATAAGATATATGCCTGTAACATGCATTTCCACCCACGAAAATGTGAATCCACACACATTTGAAAATCAAAAGTAAGAAGAGAGAAAGAACAAATAAACAAAGAACAGAAGATGAAAAAAATGATAGAAATGTTGATGTCAAGACAGTAATAAGAGAATGAGAATAGACAAATAAAATGAAAACTAAAAGATATGATGTTATCGTGCCTTATACAGAGAAAAGTGCAATACTCATAGATGTATAATCTATTTAACGGATGATAACGCATTGCGATAAAGATGAGAAGTCAGATTACGATGAACATGGTTTTTAGGGATTTTATTTACCGAAAGGATACTGTCGATGGTTAAAAATTATAATAACATGATGGGTTCTGTTTCAATGACGGCTAAAGCAGTTTCAACGGAAATAAGTATTGAAAAATGTGATTTCACTTTTCATAAGAGATGAGTGATTTAAATAACGACCAAAGTAGTACTACCGAACACAATTAAATTGCGACATATTCAAAATGAAATTTCTTCCGAGATTCCATTCAATATAAGAAAGGCAATACTGATTTGAAGCCAAATACTGAATTCTGGAATAGTGAATCCGAGATAGTATCCATAGATTAAACAATGACATAGATAAAAAGCTACTGGAGATTACGTAATGTTTCAATTGTTTTAATGTACAGCATCAAGATTTTAACATGATGCATTAAACAAGTAGTCGAAGTCATATCGACAACAAGTGTCGATTCCGAATTTGAAGATCGACCATGAATACCATCGGAAAATGATACCGAATAATATACGATTGTGAACCGGAACAGTATTGAAAACACGAATAAAGAAACCGAAGTAAGATAGGTTTCGAGCAGTCTTACGAATCAGCTGCGATAACGATCATTGGGTCTAATTATTGATGATGATCCCAATGCAATCAATTAATCGTGTATTCGAATGTGCTGCTTGAATGTAAATTGGCGTTCATGTAATTTTGAAGTGTGCGTATGCCATGTAATTGTTAGTTCGAGTGTTCGTTGAAATTGTCGAAATCGATCATGAACATGAACTAAGGCACGCAAAACGTCTCAGTGTTTCATCGAAATTGTTCTCTTTTTCAGCTTGTTGTTTGATAAGAAACTTTGAAGGAAGTTTGCTTGCAAACTTCTATCATTGTGGTTTTAATTTCATGTGAATTTGCCATGATTTGAGTTCATCTGGCTAAATCGAATTTGATTGGACTGTATTATCAAGGTTTATCAAAGGTCATGATAGCGCATCAGATAAATATTGACTTGCGCCATTTAGCTGTTCTTGGAGGACATTGAAGGCTGGTTCATGT